CAAGCCCCAAGGCTCTTCTGCTACATCCTTGCCCCAAAATCTCTATGTCCCTGTTCCTGTCTCCATCACAAGTTCCCCTGTTTCTGTCCCTAAATCCACCCCACAATTCTGGTCACACTGGGCTCCATGCCCTGCTCTGGCTCTGCTGGCATTGGAGACCTCAGGGGACCCTGCAGCCCCCCTGTGACCCCTCCCCTCCCCATCTCTGGGCCCGTGCCTGGAGCACTCACCCCACAGGAGCAGTGCCACCTTCCCGGCCATCCCGGTGTCCCCAGCCATGTACACTGGCTGTCACTCGCTGCTGTGGCCACCGCTCCCCTGGCTGGCGGCTCTTCGGATGAAGGGGAAGGAAGCGAGGTCACATCTCGTCCCCATGTGTAGGTGGCCCTGGGTGGGGGCAGGGTGGGGACAGGATGGGGGCAGGGTGGGGAACTTGTGGGACATGGTGGGGACATGGTGTTGCCAGAATTTGGGGTCTGAGGCCATGCAGGGAGACAGGGATGGGTGTTCAGGGGAATGGGATGCCCAGGTATTTGGGGTACCAGGGAAATGGGGGTACCAGGGTTTGGGTGGACTGAGACTTGGGGATGAGGATCCCAAAACAACGTGGCCTCCTGGGATTTGTAATCATGAGATAGGGGCCATGGCATGAAGGTGCCAGGGAAAAAGGGGTCCCTGTGAGATTGGGGGCCCTGGGTGAATGAAGGCCCCCAAGGGAAGGGGTGTCCCATGGTCTGAAACTACTGGGAAGGTGTTCCTTGGGGTTGGAGATACTGGGGAATTGCAGTCCAGGGATAGGGGTCTCAGGGAAGGTGGGACAGAAGGAAATGGGGTCCCAAGGTTTAAGTTCCCAGGGTGATGGGGGTGTCACGGATGGGCAGTGGCTGAGGGGACAGAGGGGTCACAGCTCCTTCCCTGAGTGCCTCAGATTTTGGGGTGACATGGGGCACCACAAAATCGCTTCCGGGGTGCTCATTTCCTGGCCAGGCATTGCATGGGGATCCTGAGTATCTCTGCCTCTGTGTCCTCCTCTGCCCTTGACATTTTCCTCTCTTTATTTCTCTTTTTTCCTTATTCTCCTTACTTTTTGCCATATCACCTCACCCCCAGTTCCTGGCTCAGCAATCCTGGGGTGCATCTGAGCAGGGAAGGGGTTGGGGGGACCCAGGGGAGGGGGAAAATGGGGAATGGTGGGTGCAGGAAAGGGTGGGGAGGCTGTGGGGGATGAAGATGTAGGGCTGTGCTCTCTTAACACTTTCACTTTCTTTGTCCTGGACAAGAAGGAAGAGGCCGTTTGTGCTGAGAGTCAGATGGGAAAATGGGGGTGGTTCTCTCCTGGGGGGCACATCCAGGGGTGGGTCCTGGGAGGATCCTGTCCCAGGGGGTGACACATCCTGGCATGGGGGGTGTCCTGTCCCAGGTGTGGCAGTTCTGGAAATGTCCCTGCACATTCCTGGCCGGGTGCCTGTCCCAGGAGTGGGTCATCCTGGGGATCCCTGTCAATGCAAGGGTGGGGCCCAGCCATGACCCAGCCCCACTGCATAGGGATGGCCATTGCCCAGCCCTGCTCTGGCCAGCCCCAGGTGGCAGCCAGCACCTGAGGGTCCCCCCAGCCCCCTTGGCTTTGATTCTGGCAGCTTTAGAGCTGCTGCAGAGGTGAGAATTGTGTGGGTGGAAAAGGCCTGCCTGTGGTTTGCTCAGCCCTACAAGAAGCACAAAACCCAAAGGGAGCCCAAGCAGTAGCTCTGTAAGGGCCTTTGGTGGTTTTCAGAGCAGGGCTGGCTGGAAACCTCCCTGCAGGAGCAGCTGTGGGGAAACCAGTCTGGAAATGCAGCAATTGATCATTTTGTCCCTTTGCGCAAGGGACTGAGAGAACCCAAGAACTACTGCAAAGACAACAACAATTGGGCTCCCTTTGGGTTTTGTGCTTCTTGCAGGGCTGAGCAAACCACAGGCAGGCCTTTTTCCCCCACAGAATTCTCACCTCTGCAGCAGCTCTAAAGCTGCCAGAATCAAAGCCAAGGGGGCAGGGAGGGACCCTCAGGTGCTGGCTGCCACCTGGGGCTGGCCAGAGCATGACTGAGCCATGGCTGGGCCCCACCCTTGCATTGACAGGGGTCCCCAGGTTGTGCCACCCCTGGGACAGGCACCAGGCCAGGAATGTGCAGGGAAGTTTCCACAACTGCCACACCCAGGACAGGACCCACATACCAGGATGTGTCACACCCTGGTGAAGGATCCCCCCAGAACAGGACCCCCCTGGATGCGCCACGCCAGGACACAAGCCCCCCATTTTCCCATCTGACTGTCAGCACAAACAGCCTCTTCCTTCTTGTCTAGGAAAAAGAAAATGTTGAGGGGGCACAGACCAACACCTCCATCCCCCACAGCCTCCCTACCCTTCCCTGCACCCCCCACTCTCCTGGCTGCCCCAACCCATTCCCTGCTCAGGTGCTCCCCAGGATTGCTGAGCCAGTAACTGGGGGTGAGGGGACATGGTACAAAAGTGAGGACAATAAGGAAATAAGAGAAATAAAGAGAGGAAAATGTCAAGGGCAGGGAAGGACACAGAAGCAGAGCTACCCAGGACCCACATGTGATGTCTGCGCTGGAAAGGAACACCCCAGGGGTCAGTGCTGGGCCCCGTGTCATCCCAAAATCTCAGGCACCCAGGGAAGGAGCTGAGATCCCTGTGCCAATCCAGAAATTGCTCATCCCTGGCAATCCCCCATTCCCCTGGAAACCAACCATGGGAGCCCCATTCCTTAAGTCCCATCTTGCCTGGGACCCCTATCCCAATACGGACATTCCCCAGGATCTCCATGGCCCAGGACAACATTCCAAAGGAACCATCTCCACTTCTTTCCATTCCCTGAAATCTTCTTTCCCCCAGGACCTTGGGGAAGGTCCTATACCAGGCCCCCATTCCCACGGGACTCTCATTCCTCCAGTGTCCCCATCCCATGGCCCCAAATCCCTGGAGCTCACGTTCCCCCAGGACTCCCCTTCCTGAGTCCTCCCAGTTCTGGGAACCCCCATTCCCTTGCCCCCCCCCCCCATCCCCATTGATTCCCCCTCCTCAGGACCCCCATTCCCCTGGACACTCATCTCCATGTCCCCAAATCCACCAAGCCCCCCACACCTGGGAACCGATATTGCACCTTGTCCCACCCAGCCTTGTCCCCATCCTGTCCCCAGCTTGTGGCCACCCTGCCCCCACCAAGGGCCACCTACATGTGGGGACGGACGTGACCTCGCTTCCTTCCCCTTCATCCGAAGAGCCGCCAGCCAGAGGAGCGGTGGCCACAGCAGTGAGTGACAGTCAGTGCACATGGCTGGGGACACCGGGATGGCCGGGAAGGTGGCGCTGCTCCTGTGGGGTGAGTGCCCCGGGCATGGGCCTGACACCCCTGGGATGGGGAGGGGAGGGGGCACAGAGGGCCTGCAGGATTCCCTGAGGTCCCCAATGCCAGCAGGGTATGGAGGCAGTGTGACCAGAGTTGTGGGGTGGCTTTGGGGACAGGAACACAGGAAAGGAACAGGGGAACTCAGATGTCAGGACAGGGGGATGGAATGTGGGGATAAGGATGTGGCAGTAGGAACCTTGGGGCTGGGGCAGCTGTGGGACCTGGGACAGAGGGATGCAGGGACAGGGACAACATGACCGGCAACATGTGTTTGGGCCATGGGGACAGGTGCCATCAGAAATGGACAATGAGCACAGGGCCATAGGGATGTGGCCATGGGGCTGGCAGGGGTGACCTGTGCCAGCAAGGGGCCCCATGCCTGAGCATGGGTGGCTGCTGTGTGCCTGTCCTTGAGACATCTGTGCCACACCAGTACCCCCACAAAGACTGTTTGGCAACAGCCCCTAAACCCCATGCCTCTGTGCCTCTGTCCCTGCAGTGCCACCCCCACCCAGCCCTTTCCCTCCTCCCTTCCAGCCCAGACCCTCGGCTTCACTGGTGAGTCCTCGGGGAATGCCATGGCCCCACCCTGTTGTCCCCAGCCCCACACTGGCCCTGGCAGACTGGTGTCCCCTGTCATCTGCAGGTGCCCAGACCACCCAGCTTGTCGTGGAGCCCGCCTGGAGGCCGGTGGTGCTGTGGGACCGGGTGACACTGACCTGCCAGGGCTTGGGGACTGCTGGTGCCACCATCTGGTACAAGGATGGGCAGCACTGGCGGCAGGAGAGACGCGACCACTTCATTTTCACTGAGACTGGTACCTACACATGTGACAGACCCAGCACTGGGCTCAGTTCCACTGTGAGAGTCTCAGACGGTGAGGGGGATTTGGGTGTCCCCAGCCTGGCACCCACAGGGACCCTGAGGGCTCTGCGTGGTCTGTGCTCTATGGGTCACCTCCTGTGTGACCTGAGCCTGTCCCCTGCTCTGGGGACATCCCAGAGCATCACAGTGTAGAGGGACCCCCGTGTTGGAATTGGGCACCCCTGGTGCCCTGGGTGTGACCAAATGGGGGATCATTGGGTGTCATTGGGTGTGACAGGACCCCTCTGTCCCCCAGACCCACTGGTGCTGCACAGGCCAGCATGGGCACTGCTGGAGGGGAACAGGGTGACACTGTGCTGCCGGGGCCGGTGGAACTGCACGGTCACCTCGGTGTCCTTCTACCCCAAGGGGAAGAAACTGGGGGGACTCCGTGATAGTACCAAGCTATCCTTGGCCCCTCTGCAGCTGAGCCAAAGCGGCAAGTACAGCTGCAGGAGTTGGGTGGGATCCTGGGGGCAACAGGAGTCACTGTGGGTGACAGTGACAGTACAAGGTGAGCATCCCAGAGCATGTCAGTGTGGGGGAACCTGTGTTGGAATTGGGGACCCCTTGTACACTGGGTGTGACCCAATGGGGGGATCCCCATGAAAACGGGACCCTAGAGTGACAGGATCCCTGTGTCCTGCAGTCCAGTTAGAGTTGCGGGTGCTGGCACAGGAGCTGCTGGATGGGGACACAGTGACAGTGCGATGCTGACGCTGGTGGGACATGCCGGTCACCAAGGTGCAATTCTACCATGGGGACAAGGAGGTGGAGGGGTCCCTAGAGGGACCGAGCTGTTGTTGTCCCCGCTGCAGCTGCACCACAGTGGAAACTACAGCTGCAGGGGCTTGGTGGATTCTGAAGTGTCACTGTGAGCATAGTCATTGCCAGGGACAGTGACAGTGCACGGTGAGCATGCCCATGGCTGGAACTCCAAAATCCTGACCTCCCCAAAGCCGCTTCCCAGCACACTCAGAGTCACAGTCCTCACCTCCCCTCTCCTTCCCTGAGCTCTTCTCGGTGCCAGTGCTGGTGGTTCCCCGCAAGCCCATTCAGGGGTCCCCTCTGACTGTCAGCTGCCTCAGCACCCCTAGACCCCTGCTGCCCTAGCCCCCCTCCTGCACGTGTTCTACCAAGACGGGCAGGTGGTGAGAGGCCCGCAGGGGTCCCCGCAGCTGCTGGTGCCCACCGTGGGGGTCTCCCACTATGGGAATTACAGTGCCAGGTGCACTCCGAAGAGGGGGCTGTGCAGAAGTGCAGCGTCCAGCTCCGTGTCATGGTTAGCAGTAAGTGCGAATGGGCACGGGGACCCCACAGAGACGCCCCAAGTCCCCTGGTTGGGGACCTCCAGGTCCCCCTGACACCTTTCTTGTGTCCTCCCACCTCTCTTCTGTGTCCCTCACCCCTCCATGATTTTACCCCATGTCTGACATCCCCCATCACACCCATCCCCCCATCCCTATCCCCTCACACCAGCTGCCAGCTCCTCCCTGTGGCCTCAGCCTTGTCTCTGGCCCCACAGTGCCCATGGCCAATGCCACCACCACTCCCGGTCCCCTGTCACACCAGGTGCGTGCAGATGACAAGGTGACCCTGCGCTGCTTGGTGCAGGTGGGCTCAGCCCCTGTCACCTTCACCTGGCTGCACAATGGGCAGCAGGTGGCCTGGGGTCCCCTCCTGGAGCTCAGGGACATCGACGTGGGGCACTCAGGCACCTACCAGTGCATGGTCACCAACCAGCTGGGACAGGACGGGCACCGCGTGTTCCAGGCACTCAGCCCTGAGCTGGCAATGGAGGTGACGCCTGGCTCACCCTGGGTAATAGGTGTGGTCACAAAGGGTCACTAGGGAGTGCAGGACTCCTGGGGTGATGGGTGATCTTGATGTGTCCTTTCCTGTTTTTTCCAGTGGTGACATGGGTCAGTGGGGCCCTTTGTTCCTGCTCCTGCTCGTGGGTGTCATTGTTGCCTGGAACCGGTGGCACCGTCAGGGTGGGTGACAATATGGGGACAGGGGTCCCAGGGAGCTGTAGAGGCCCCAAGTGTTGGGGAGTGATAGGGCAGCACCCACAGCCTCAGAATTGTGACTTGACTGGTGGGCCTGAAGAATTTGGGGTGGTGCTGGAGGGTTCTGCAGGTATGTTGGGGCTTCTTTCAAAGATCCTGGGTGTGTTTGGGGGTCTCTGTAACTTCTGGGCTTTTGGTTCTTGAGGCTGAGTTCATCAGAGGCACTGAGTTCTGGGGAGGGCGGCTCCAAAGATGCTTGGTGGTCCTGAGGGGAATTAAGGGTCCAATGGGAGTTCAGGAATGCTTAGACGGGGCAGGGCACTGGGACCCCACATTCACCCCTCCCCTCTTTCTTTTGCAGCCGCCAGGAAGCAGCAGGAAAGGTGAGTGGGGGACTCAAACCACACTCTCTCCTTTTACCCCATCCCCCAAGACCTCCCATTCCCTTTCCCGCACTCCCTTTATTCCCTCAGGGCTCCCCCGGATCCCCCAGCCCCCCCAGAGGTGGGGAGGTGCTGTACAGCCACGTCGTGGTCACCAAGAGGGCAGGGGATGAGTATAGGGGGGACACACACAGAGGGACACGTCACCCACGAGGGTCACCCCACCCAGATCCCACAGCCTCTGTCTCTCGCAGAGTCCCACCGTGCCACCAGCCTGCAGGATCCCCAGGTGACCTACGCGGAGCTGCAGGGACCCCAGGGGCAACCACGGGAACTCGGTGACATCTACGGGAATGTGCTGTGACACTGTGGGGAACTGGGGGCACTGGGGGTCCCCACCCATGGGCACCCACTCGTGTGTTTGCTACCACTAAAAACTGCCCCTCCTCTCCCCAGAGAGGCACAAAGATCCCAAATGGCTGAGAGAAGAAACAATTTCTTTTAACAGCAATGAGAGAGAATAAAACCAACAGCAAAAGCAACAAGGTTCAGACTCCAAATTGTCACACAAGGAACGATTTCCAGGGAAAGCCACAAAAAGGAACAAACCCCAAACACTCCCCCAGGCACGTTTCCTCCACCAGAGGAACCTGGCAGGGTCCTGGACCTTCCTTGTTCTGATGGCCCAAGCAGCCTTCAGCAGGCTCTGGATTCTCTTCTCCCCTGTCCCAAAAATCTCCTCTGCCGTGTTCCCCACACGAGGATGTCACAAAGGCCCTGTGGGGGTTCTGGAGCATCCCCTTTTCCAGGGCAGTAGGGTTCAGGCCATGGCACAGGGTGGGGTGTCAGAGACAGGAAATTTTGATGTCTGGAGACATTTTGGAACAGCTGTGTGTGGCAGGGGTAGGTCAGGCCTTGCTTTTGGCGAGACAGGGCCCCGTCTCGCCATCAGTCTGTCAGCCATGGCACACTGCGGACAGTGTGATGCTCTGCCAAACCCAGGTCTGGTGTGGCCGAGTGACCAGAAGTGCAATCCGGGGTGAGGGCCCATGGTGGCCCGACTGGCTTAAAAGGCAGAGCATGAGGTGGCCAAATCCCTGACCCTGTCTCCTCATGGGGTGTCTGTCGCATCCACGCCGGATCCAGGAGTTGGCTACTGATTTAAACGAGGAATATCTGCCAAGGTATGTGGGAATGTTCCTGGAATGAAAAGAAGACCCATCTCTAAACTTTTTCTAATTTCAAAGATTATGGGGATACCAGACCAAAGTGTTGGAGAATGAATAACAGCTTTTAACTGGGAAATTTACAAATAAGTATAGAACAACAACACAAACCCAGAACGTGTTTGTTGTTGTGGCAGTTATAACCATGGCCAGCAGGGGGCACTGCAGGCAGCACTCCTGGCCAGCAGGGGGCGCCCCGGCCCAGGTCCATCCCCTCAGGGGCGATGGCGGCCTCGGAAGGGAGGGAGGAGGGGAAATCGCTCCTTTTGCAAACTCACGGGCACCAATCAGTCTCGGCACCACCACCGGCAGCAGGCAGAAGCCGCCAAGGCAGCAGGTTGGATCCCAGTGCCCACTGGCAGCGTAGCAGTGTCTCAGGGCCAGGCACACACCCTGCGCAACACCTGCGACCGCTCTCCATGAATCAGAATGGAAGGAAGGCAGCACCTGACCCGAGGCAGGTCTCAGGTCTCAGGTCCACAGCAGCACCTGTGGTGGCTTTACACCACAATTCCTGCAAATCCTCAGCCTTTCCCTCAGATGAGGAGGGCAAGGATGGAGCAGCTTTGGGGACACCTGGAATCCACACAGAGTCACTTCCCACAGTCCCACCACAGCCACGGGTAGAGCCACTGAGCAATACTTTCACAGTTTTCTCTCTATTTTTGTGGACAAAGTCGGAATCCAAGCATTCTTTCCATGAGGTTCCTCAAGGCTGCAGATTTTGTACAAGAAGAATGTTCCCAGGAAGGTTGTTGCCATATTGTTGTGCGATTTGCAGTAATTTTGAGGTACTCTCATTCCCTTACCGAGAGCAAGAAATGATCAATTGCTGCATTTCCAGGCTGGTTCTCCCACAGCTGCCCCTGCAGGAAGGGTTTCCAGCAAGCCCTGCTCTGAAAACCATCAAAGGCCCTTGCAGAGCCACTGCTTGAGCTCTCTTTGGGTTTTGTGTGCTTCTTGCAGAGCTGAGCAAACCACAGGCAGCCCTTTTCCGCCCACACAGAATTCTCACCTCTGCAGCAGCTCTAAAGCTGCCAGAAACAAAGCCAAGGGGGAAATGGGGACCCTCAGGTCCTGGCTGCCACCTGGGGCTGACCAGAGCAGAGCTGGGCAATGGCCATCCCTGTGCAGTGGGGCTGAGCCATGGCTGGGCCCCACCCTTGGATGGCCACTGGCTTCAAGGAGCAGGAGTTTGGGAGCTCCTTCCTGCTCAGGGTTCCATTCCCCAGCTGCTCTTGCTGGCTCAGAGCCAGCACGGGACGAGCAAGAATGACGAAGTCTGGACATCTCTCAAGCTGCCAAGCTCCAGGACAGGACCCTCTTCTCCAGCATGTGTCCCCCCTGGGTCAGGATCCCCCCTGGGACAGGAGCCTCCTGGATGTGCCCCCTAAGGACAGAACCCTTCACCCCCATGTGAGAAAGGCGTCAAATGGCCTTTTCCTTCTTCTGCGGGAGACAGAAACTGAAAGTGTTGGGGGGTAAAAGCTGCACTCCCCCATCCCCCACAGCCTCCCCAGCCCTTCCTGCAGACCCCTCACCCCTGCTTTCCCCACCCTGGGCTTCCCCCACCCTGGGCTTTCCCCAACACATTCCCTGCTCAGGAGCTACACAGGATCCTCAAGGCACAAACTGGCGGGTTGTGAAATTGAGGGGTAAAATGATGGAAATGGAATAAAGAGAGGGAAAAATCACTGGAGGCTGGGGGACACAGACCCAGAGCAGCTCAGAATCTCTCTGGGGTGACACCCTGGACACCGGCACCATGTGGGGGTGGTGCTCGCTCTGGATCACCCCAAAATCTGAAGCACCCGGGGAAGGAGCTGCAACCCATGGGCTCACCCAGCTACTGCCCATCCCTGGCACCCCCATTTCCCCGGGAACGGAAACATGGGACCTCCATTCCTTATGTCCCACTCCCTCTGCAGCCCCCATCCCAACACTGACATTCCCTAGGATCTCCATGGCCCAGCACCCCATTCCCAAGAAACCCCTTCCCATTCATTCCATCCCCTGAAATCTTCCTAGGGCCCACCATTCCCCCATCCAATGAATTGAAATCCTTGGAGCCCACATTCCCCTGGGACTCCCATCCATGAGTCCCCCCAGGTATGGAGATACCCATTCCCATGGCATCCCCATTGCCGGATATTCCCCCTCCTCAGGACCCCATTTACCAGTGACCCCATTCCTGCCTTCCAAAAACCACCAAGTTCCCCACTCCTGGGAATCCCATGACCCATTTTGTCCCACCCACCCGTGTCCACAGCCTGTCCCCACCCTGCCCCCACTAAGGGCCACCTACACATGAGGTCGAGACGTGACCTCGCTTCCTTCCCCTTCATCCGAAGAGCCGCCACCCAGGGGAGCAGTGGCCACAGCAGCAAATGACAGCCAGTGCACATGTTTGGGGACACCAGGATGGCCGGGAAGGTGGCGTTGCTCCTGTGGGGTGAGTGTCCCAGGCACGGGCCTGACACCCTGGGGATGGGGAGGGAAGGGGGCACAGGGGGACTGTGGGGTCCCCTGAGGTCCCCAATGACAGCAGAGCCAGTCCATGTTACCCACAGTGGACCTGGATGTGACTGGGGATGTAGAGTGGCTTTGGGGACAGGAAGAAGGGGCAGGAATTTGGGGATGGGAATGTGGGGACAGGAATGTGGGGACTGGCACCTTTGGGCTCAGGCAGCTCCAGGGATAGGGACAAGGGAACTGGGATGCAGGGACAGAAGGGGACAAGAACGCTGAGGATGTGGCCATGGGGATGGGATCATGGGGATGGGATCATGAACTGGTGGGAGTGACCTGGGCCAGCATGGGCTGTGTCCGTGGTGTCCTCGTGCCTGGGGTGTCCACAGTGTCCCCATGTTCTGCCTCAGCCAGGGGTGGCCTCAGGGTCCCTGTTCCCAAGGTGTCTGTGCCACAGGGATGTGGTGCATGGGTGGCTGTGACACAGACATGTCCCCCTGCCTGTCCAGACTTCTGGGGATCACCCACACACTTTCCCACAAGAGCATCTGTCCCCACGGGGACAGTTCGGGGACAGCCACCACACCCTGTACCCCATGTGCCTCTGTCCCCATAGTGACACCCCCACTGAGCCCTGCCCCTTCTCCCTTCCAGCCCAGACCCTCAGCCTCGCTGGTGAGTCCTCAGGGGATGCCATGTCCCCACCTCGCTGTCCCCAGCCCTACACTGGCCCTGGCAGGCTGGTGTCCCCTGTCACCCACAGGTGCCCAGACCACCCAGCTCCTGGTGGAGCCCTCCTGGAGGCCGGCGGTGCTCTGGGACCGGGTGACACTGATCTGCCAGGGCTCGGGGACTGCCGGTGCCACCACCTGGTACAAGGACAGGCAGCGTTGCTGGCAGGAGGGACAGGACCGCCTCAGTGTCACCGAGAGTGGCACCTACACATGTGACAGACCTGGCACTGGGCGCAGCCCCTCCTTGACAGTCTTAGATGGTGAGGGGAGACCTTTAAAAATCATGGGGGCACCAGAGCGGTAAGGGTGTGCTCCACTCCGTAGGTGGCCTCACACCCCTCATGTGGCAAGAGCCTGTGCCCTGCACACAGGGACATCCCAGCGCACCCCAGAGCACCCCAGAGCACCCACATGTCCCCGGTGCTATGGGCACCCACCTCAGAACACTCTCATCAGTGAGATGTGACCTTCCTGTCCCACAGACCCACTGGCGCTGCAGGTGTCAGCGCAGGCACTGCTGGAGGGGGACACCTTGACACTGCGCTGCTGGTGCCGGCAGGACAACCATCTCACCAGGGTGCAATTTTACTGGGAGGAGAAGGATCTCAGGGGGTCCCTCAGGGGGACCAAGCTGTCCCTTTCACCTCTGCAGCGGCACCACAGTGGCCGCTACAGATGTGAGGGCTTGGTGGGGTCCTGGCAGTCACGGTCAGCACCAGTGACAGTGACAGTGCATGGTGAGCACCCACACGGCTGGAACTCCAATATCTTGACAACCCCAAAGCCACTTCCCAGTGCACTCAGACGCACAGTCCTCACCTCTCCTCTCCTTCCCAGAGCTCTTCTCGGTGCCAGTACTGAAGGGTCCCCACGAGCTCACTGAGGGGTCCCCCCTGAATCTCAGCTGCCTCAGCACCCCCAACACCCTGAGGCCCCGAGCCCCCCTCCTGCACGTGTTCTACCAGGACCGACAGGTGGTGGGGGGCCCGCAGAGGTCCCCGCAGCTGCTGGTGCCCACTGTGAGGGTCTCCCACTCGGGGAATTATGGCTGTGAGGTGCACTCCCAGGGGGGGTCCGTGCAGAAGAGCAGCAACCGGCTCCTCGTCATGGTGTGCAGTGAGTGTGGGGATGGGCATGGGGAGCCCCCACAGATGCCTCCGGTCCCCCACACTGCCTGGCACCCCCCAGACCTCCCTGACGTCTGCTCTGGGGCACTCAACGTTTTCCAGATCCCCCCCTGCCCCCCCATCCTTTCTCGGGTCTCTCCCCAGGACCCCCAGCCCCTACATGGGTACCCTCAACCTTCCCTGGTGCATTTTCTGTGTCCTGCCATTGCTGCTCCGGGTTGCTCCTAAGGTCCCCCCATTCCTGGCTCATGTTTCCCTCCATCCTTCGTTGGGTCCCCTCCCCATCCCTGGGTCCCTCCACCCCTCTCTGAGGTCTCTGAACATTGCTCAAGTCTCACCATCCCCTCCCAGGGTCCCCATACTCCCAGGTCCCCAGGTTGCTCACCTCCATCTCCAGGTGTTCCCTCCCTGACCCCCTTATCATCTCTCGGGGTTCCTTTCGATGCCCCCCCGCCCCAATCTCTGCACCCCCTCTCCCTCACTGGAATTCCCCTGCCCCTCCTTGACACCCCCCTGGGTCCCTCACTGTCCCCTGCTGTCCCACTCTCTCGCAGGGGTCCCGCCCTCGGGGGTGTCCCTGTCAGCGCAGCCCCCTGGGGGACAGGTGGCACTCGGGGACAGCCTGGTGCTGAGCTGTGCGGTGGCCATAGGGACAGGTCCCCTGTCCTTCTCCTTGCACCGGGAGGGCTCAGGGGCATTGCTGGGAATTGGCCCCTGCCTGGAGCTGTGCCATGCTGGGGACAATGACAGCGGCCAGTACCGGTGCCGGGTCAGCGATGGGGACAGCGTGGCTGAGAGTGACCTCCTGAATGTCACTGTCCTGGGTGAGCGGGACCCTCGGATTGGGGGTGACCCCATCCACGGCACCCCCCTACCATCTCACCAGGTGCCAGCCCTGTCTCTGTCTCCACAGTGCCCGTAGCCAATGCTACCATCACTCCCGGTCCCCTGTCACACCAGGTGCGTGCAGGTGACAACATGACCCTGCGCTGCTTGGTGCAGGTGGGCTCAGCCCCTGTCACCTTCACCTGGCTGCACAATGGGCAGGAGGTGGCCTGGGGTCCCCTCCTGGAGCTCAGGGACATCGATGTGGGACATTCGGGCACCTACCAGTGCGTGGCCACCAACCAGCTGGGACAGGACGGGCACCGCGTGTTCCGGGCTCTCAGCCCTGAGCTGGCCCTGGAGGTGACACCTGGCTCACCCTGGGTCACAGGTGGGGTGACACAGGTGGGGTCACCAGGCAGTGCAGGACACCTAGGGTGTTACTGACCCTGATGTGTCCCCCTCTGTTTCTTGCAGTGGCCTCAGGGGTCGGTGGGGCCCTTTTCTTCCTGCTCCTGCTCGTGGGTGTCATTGTGACCTGCCACTGGTGGCACCATGTGGGTGGGTGACAATGGGGGGGATGGGGGTTCCAGGGAGCTGTAGAGGCCCACAGAATTGGAGAAACCATAGGGAAATACCCACCACAATTGTGACTTTGTCTAGGGGTCCTGTAGGGTTTTGGGAATTCCTGGATGGTCCTGCAGGGATGTTGGTGATTCTTTCCAAGGCCCTGGGGGTTTTTGGGGGAGTCTCTGTCCCTCCTGGGATTCGGGTTCTTGAGTGTGAGTTGTCTGGAGACACTGGGAAGGCTCATGGATTCTGGGGGTCTTCAGGGAGGTCTTGAAGGGGTTTAGGAATCCTGAGAGGGGTCAGGGCCCTGGGACGCCACAGTCACCCCTCCCCTGCTTCCATTGCAGTTGCCAGGAAGAACCAGGAAAGGTAGGTGGAGGCTCTAACCACACTGTCCCCTTTTACCCTAACTCCCAAGACCTCACATTCCCTCCCCCACATCCCCTTTATTCCCTCAGGGCCCCCCCGGATTCCCCGGCCCCCCCAGAGGAGGGGGAGGGGCTGTACACCCACATTGTGGTCACCAAGAAGGCAGGGGGTGAGTACGGGGGGGACACACGCAGAGGGACACGTCACCCACGAGGGTCACCCCACCCAGATCCCAGAGCCTGTGTCTCTCGCAGCGTCCACCCGTGCCACCACCCTCCAGGATCCCCAGGTGACCTACGCGGAGCTGCGGGGACCCCAGGGGCGACGGCGGGAACCCGGTGACATCTACGGGAATGTGCTGTGACACTGGGGGAAACTGGGGGGCACTGGGGGTCCCCATCCATGGGCACCCACTCGTGTCTGTGCTGCCACTAAAACTGCCCCTCTGCCTCCCTGTGGGGGCACAAAGATCCCAAATGGCTGAGAGAAGAACAATTTCCTGAAACAGCAACCAGAGAGAATAAAACCAACAGCAACAGCAACAAGGTTCAGACTCCAAATTGTCACACAAGGAACAGTTTCGAGGGAAAGCCACCAACAAGGAACAAACCCCAGATATTTTCCCAGCATGTTTCCTCCACCAGAGGAACCTGGCAGGGCCCTGGACCTTCCTTGATCTGACGGCCAAAGTGGCCTTCAGGAGGCTCTGGATTCTCTTCTGCCCTGTCCCAAATCCCTCCTCTGCCGTGTTCCCCACACCAGGATGACACAAAGTCCCTGTGGGGATCCGAGAGCCTCCCACTTTTCCAGGACAGTCAGGATCAGGCCACAGCACAGGGTGAGGTGTCAGAGACAGGAAAAGCTTCATGTCTGGAGGCATTTTCGAACACGTATGTGTGACAGGGATGGGTCAGGACTTGCTTTTGGTGAGATAGGGCTCCATCTGTCCATCACTCTGTCAGCCGTGGCACACTGGGGACAGTGTGACACTCTGCCAAAGCCAGCTCCTGAATGGCCGGGTGACCAGAAGTGCCAACTGGGGAGAGAGCCCTTGTTGGCCCAATTGGCTTAAAAGGCAGAGCATGAGGTGGGCAAGTGCCTGACCGTGTCTCCTCTTCGGATGTCTGTCCCATCCATGCTGGAACCCAGGAAGTGGCAACTCATTTAAATGAGAAATATCTGCCAAGGAAAGTAGGAACCTTCCTGGAATAAGAAGACCTATCCCTAAAACTCTTTTTAAATTTCAAAGATTATGGGGATACCAGGTAACAGTGTAGGAAAAGGAATATCAGCTCTTTACATGGAAATTTATAAACCAGAACAGAACAAACAACACAAACCCTGAACTTAGCCTCCTGCTCAGCGCTGTTGGTTTTTGTGGCAGTTATAACCGCGGCCAGCAGGGAGGACTATAACCGGGGGGCGCTGCAGGGAGCACTCCCAGCCAGCAAGGCGGTGCCTCGGTCCAGCTCCATCCCCTCAGGGGCCATGGCGGCCTCAGACGGGAGGGAGGAGGGGAAATCGCTCCTTTTGCAAACTCACGGGCACCAATCGCTCCTGGCACCACCACCAGCAGCGGGCAGAAGGCGCCAAGGCAGCAGGTTGGATCCCAGTGCCCACTGGCAGCGTAGCAGTGTCCCGGGGCCAGGCACACGCACTGCGCTACACCCACGACTGCTCTCCATGATCCAGAATGGAAGGAAGGCAGCGCCTGACCCCAGGCAGGTCTCGGGTCCACAGCAGCACCTCTGGTGGCTTTACACCACAATTCATGCAAATCCTCAGCCTTTCACTCAGGTGAGGAGGGCAGGGATGGAGCAGCTTCGGGGCCACCTGGAATCCAGAAAGGATCCCTCCCCACAGCCCCACCACTGGCGTGGGGCAGAGCCCCTGCCCAGTATTTCCACACTTTTCCCTTTTATCGGGCGGGCACATCCCAAACCCAAACATTTTTTCCATGAGGTTCCAGAAGGCTGCAGGTATTCTTCAAGAAGGAGGGTCCAGGTCAGGATGTTGAGCACATTGTTGTGGATTGTGCAGTAGTTTTGTGGTTCTCTCTGTCCCTTACAAAGAGGAACAAATGATCAATTGCCATATTTCTGGGCTGGTTCCCTCACAGCTGCCCCTCCCGGGGGAGGGTTTCCAGCCAGCCCTGCTCTGAAAACCATCAAAGGCCCTCGCAGAGCCACTGCTTGGGCTCCCTTTGAAGTTTGTGCTTCTTGCAGGGCTGTGCAAACCATAGGCGGGCCTTTTTTCCCCCACAGAATTCTCACCTCTGCTGCAGGAGCTTCACAGACCCAGAACCCCTCAGAATCTGTTTTGGGTGACCCGCAGGCTGCCGGCGCCTTGTGGGGGCTGTGCTGGGCTCTGGATCACCCAAAATCTGAGGTTCCCAGGGAAAGAGCTGAGACCCATGGGCCCATCCAGCCACTGCCCATCCCTGGCACCTCCATTCCCCTGGAAATCAAATCATGGGTACCCCATTTCTTATGTCTCCCCCTCTCTGGAACCCGTATCCCAGTACTCACATTCCCCAGGATCTCCATGACCCCGGACACCTCATTCCCAAGGAACCCTCTGCTGTTCATCCCATCCCTAAAATTCCTTTCCCACAGGACCTTGATTTTCACAGGACCCCCATTCCCACAGGATCCCCCATTCCCCCAGCATCCCCATCCCATGACCCCAAATCCCTGGAGCCTACGTTCCTCTGGCACTCCCATCCCTGAGACCCCTCAGCTGTGGGGACCCCCATTCCCAGTGACTCCCCCTCCTCAGCACCCGCATTCCCAGGGACCCCATCCCTGGGACCCCCCATTCCGTTGGACACCCATCCCCACATCCACAAACCCCCTGAGCCCCCCCACTCCTGGGAACCCCATGTCCCACTGTGTCCCACCCAGCCTTGTCCCCATCCTGTCCCCACCCTGCCCACAGCCTGTCCCCAGCTTGTGGCCACCCTGATCCCACCAGGTGCCACCCACGCATGAGGGTGTGACCTGACCTCGCTTCCTTCCCCTTTGGCCAAAGAGCCACCACCCAGGGGACAGCCACCCCTGGCAGTGAGTGACAGCCAGTGCACATGGCTGGGGACATCGGGATGGCCGGGAAGGTGGCGCTGCTCCTGTGGGGTGAATGCCAGGGGCAAGGGCCTGACATCCCGGGCATGGGGAGGGGAGGGGGCACAGGGGGGCTGTGGGGTCTCCTGAGGTCCCCAATGCCAGCAGGGCATGGAGCCCAGTGTGACCAGAGTTTTGAGGTAGCTTTGGGGACAGAAAAAGGAGACAGGAATGTGGGGACAGGGACAGGGGGATGAAGATGTGGGGACAAGGATGTGGCAGAAGGAACCTTGGGGCTGAGGCAGCTGTGGGGACAGGGACAGGAACACAGGAATGCAGGGACAGGGACAAGGGGACAAACACCATGTTGATGGGCCATGGGGACAGGTGCCATCAGAAATGGACCATGGGCACAGGACCATTGGGATGTGATTGTGGGGCTGGCAGGGGTGACCTGTGCCAGCACAGCGTCTCCATGCCTGAGCAAGGGTTGGCTGCTGTGTCCTTGTCCTCAAGACATCTGTGCCACACCATTGCCCCCACTGAGACCTTTTGGGAACAGCCCCACACTCCATGCCCCCGTGCTGCTGTCCCTGGAGTGTCACCCTCACCCAGCCTTGTCCCTTCTCCCTTCCAGCCCAGACCCTCAGCCTCACTGGTGAGTCCTCAGGGGATGCTATGGCCCCACTCTGCTGTCCCAAGCCCCACGCTGGCCCAGGCAGGCTGGTGTCCCCTGTCACCCGCAGGTGTCCAGACCACCCAGCTCCTGGTGGAGCCCCCCTGGACACCACCGGTGCTGTGGGTGACACTGACCTGCCAGGGCTCGGGGACTGCCGGTGCCACCGCCTGGTACAAGGATGGGCAGCGCTTGTGGCAGGAGAGCCAGGAGCACGTCACTGTCACCGAGAGTGGCACCTACTGGTGTGACAGACCCGGCACCGGGCGCAGCCCCCTGGTGATAGTCTTACAACGTAAGGGGGTTTTGGGTGTCCCCAGCCTGGCACCCACTGGGACCCTGAGGGCTCTGGGTGGGCTCCGCTCCATGGGTCACCTCCTGTGTGACCAGAGCCTGTCCCCTGCTCTGGGGACAGCCCAGAGCATCCCAGAGTGGGGGCAACCGTGTGGTAACTGGGGACCCGTGGTGTGCTGGGTGTGACACAATGGGGGGGTCCTGGTGCCATCGGGTGTGACAGGTCCCCTCTGTCCCCCAGCCTGGTTGGTGCTGCAGGTGCCAGGGCGGGCGCTGCTGGAGGGGGACATGGTGACCCTGCGCTGCCAGGGCTGGAGAAACAGAACGGTCCACTCAGTGTTCTTCTACCGAGAGGGGAAGGAACTGGGGAGGCTCCGCTATGGCACCGAGCTGTCCCTGCCCACTCTGCAGCTGAACCACAGCGGCAGCTACAGCTGCAAGGGCCGGGTGAAATTCGGGACATCAGAGAAGTCGTGGCGGTCAGTGCCGGTGAGAGTGACAGTGCATGGTGAGCACTCCACAGCCCCTACCGCAACATCCCCACAGCCCCTCCCCAGGGATTCAGGCTCACAAATCCCCCTCCCCTCTCCTTCCCAGAGCTCTTCTCGGTCCCAGTGCTGGAGGGTCCCCCCAAGCTCACCGTGGGGTCCTCCCTTACTCTCAGCTGCCTCAGCACCCCCAGCCCACTGCGGCCCCGAGCCCCCCTCCTGCACCTGTTCTACCGGGACGGGCAGGTGGTGGGGGGCCCGCAGGGGTCCCCGCAGCTGCTGGTGCCCGCCATGGGGGTCTTTCACTCGGGGAATTTCAGCTGCCAGGTGCAATCCGAGGGTGGGGCCGTGCGGAACAGCAGTGCCCGGCTCCACATCACAGTGCACAGTGTGTGTGGAGATGGGAACGGGAAGCCCCCAGAGCCTCCTCGTGTCCCCTGCCTGGAGACGCCCAGTCCTTCCTGACACCTGACCTGTGGCACCTAAGATTCCCATATCCCTCCCCGGCTTCCCTGCTCCTTTCTCTGGTCCCTCCCTGGATCCCACATGTGTACCCCCATCCTTCCCTGGCAAATTTTTCGTGTCCTGCCATTGCTGACCCGGGTCCCTCATCAGGTCCCTCCATTCTTGGCTTGTGTCCACCCATAGCTCACTGGGTCCCCAGATCCCTCCCTGCATCCCTCCACCCCTCTCTGAGGTCCCCACACATTCCCCAGGTCCCACCATCCGCTCCCTGTATCCCCATACCCTCCCTGGTGTCGCCCCCCTCCCTCTTCAGGTGTCCCTTCCCTGAACCCCCATCCGCCTGTTTGCAATCCCCCCCCATCTCTGAACAACCTTTCCTTCACTGGGATCCTCCTGCCCCTGCCCGACCACCCAGGTCCCTCACTGTCCTCTGCTGTGCCGCCCTCCTGCAGGGGTCCCACCCTCGGGGATGTCCCTGTCAGTGCAGCCCCCCGGGGGATAGGTGGCACTCAGGGACAGCCTGGTGCTGAGCTGTGTGGTGGCCGAAGGGACAGGCCCCCTGTCCTTCTGGCACCGGGAGGGCTCAGGGGCACTGCTGGGGACCACGCTCCGCCTGGAGCTGCACCATGTTGGGGACAATGACAGCGGACAGTACCAGTGCCAGGTCAGTGACAGGAACAGCATGGTCGAGAGTGACCCCCTGAATGTCACCGTCATGGGTGAGCGGGACCCTCGGGCTGGGGGTGACCCCACCCACGGCACCCCCATACCATCTCACCAGGTGCCAGCACCATCTCTGTCCCCACAGTGCCCCTAGCCAATGCCACCATCACTCCCGGTCCCCTGTCACACCAGGTGCGTGACCCTGCACTGCTCGGTGCAGGTGGGTTCAGCCCCTGTCACCTTCACCTGGCTGCACAATGGGCAGGAGGTGGCCCGGGGTCCCCTCCTGGAGCTCAGGGACATCGATGTGGGACATTCGGGCACCTACCAGTGCGTGGCCACCAACCACGACGGGCACTGCGTGTTCCGGGCACTCAGCCCTGAGCTGGCCCTGAAGGTGACACCTGGCTCACCCTGGGTCACAGGTGGGGTCACACAGGGTTGCTGGGGGTTTCAGGGTCCCTGCAGTTCAGGGTGACCCCAATGTGTCCCCTCTGTCCCCAGCAGTGGCTGTGAATGTCGGCAGGACCCTCCTGTTCCTGCTCCTGCTCCTGGCTGTCATCGGGGACTGTCACTGGTGCCACCACCAGGGTGGGTGACAATGGAGGTAGACGAGGTCCTACAAGAACTGGGGGGAAGCCCCACACACAGTGGGGGCGCCGTTGAGGCATCACCCAAAGCCCCTGAGCTGGAGGAAGCTGAGCCCCCAGTGACCTTTGCTTGGGGTGCTCACAGCTTTGGGGGCCTTTTGGAAGGTCCTGGGCTGTCCCAGGAAGGGCCTTGAGGAATATTGGGTTGACACTGGGATCTTTTGGGGGCTTTTTGGGAGGTATTGGAAAGTTGTGCAGGGATCTTGAGAGCTCTTCAGGGATCCTGAAGCAGTTTGGGGTCTTCCCTGCATTCCATTCTTGGGGTTCCTTGAGGCTTGAGGGGTGCTCAGGGGCTGTGTGAAGAATCAGGGTCCTGAGGTGGTTCAGGGGTCCTGGAGAGGGGTTTGGAGTACCTGGGTGCCTCAGGTGTTCTCGGGCTCCTCAGGGGTGCTTTGGGTTGCAGGGGCCTGGGAGTCCAGTAGAAATCAGTGTCTGGTGGGGGCTCAGGGCTCCAGTGAGCATTTAAAGGTCCCAGGTGGGGTTGGGGCCCAGCACACCCTATGATCACCCCATCCTCTTTTTCTTGCAGCTCTCAGGAAATCCCAGGACAGGTCAGTGGGGAGTTCCAGCCATGACTCTGCCTGATCCCCTCCCCACACACCCCTCAGACCCCCCCTTATCCCCACAGGGCTCCCCAGAACACCCTTATCCCCTGCAGGTGGGGGAGGGGCAGGACATGAGGGGGCAGGAGGTGAGTATGGGGGATGGGTGGGGACATGGACGTGTCACCCATGGGTGTCACCCCAAGCCAGGTGTCTCTTACTGCCCCCCCCAAGGACCCCCAGGGGACCCACGCAGATCTGCCAGGACCACATGGGCGACTGCAGGACACCAGTGACATCCATGGGAACGTGCTGTGACAATATGGGACACTGGGAGTCCCCATCCCATGGCTCCCATGGTGGCCCATCCTGCCTAGGGTGATGACCACGAGTCGGGGGGGGCTGCACAGGGCACCCAGTGCTCCCCTTTCCCCCTCCCAGTGCTCCCAGTACACCCATGGCTCCCCAGGCTCCTCCCAGTGCCAGAGGACACAGGACCCATTTCCTTCTTATTTAGTCCAAAATGCAGCTGCTTGGTTAAACTGGCAGAGATGGTGTTTGTTCAGCTTTCTTGGACTTTAGGAATGGGATTCTCCAGTTCTGGGTTGCCACTAAAAAACAGGCGCTACTGCCCCTTTCCCTACCGCTCCCCATGGAGGCACAAAGATTCCAAAAGTCTGAGAGAAGAAAAATTTCCTGAATCAGCAATGAAAGAACAAAACCAACAGCAACAGCATCAAGGTTCAGAGTCCAAATTGTCACACAAGGAATAATTTCCAGGGAAAGCCACCCACAAACAATCCCTGAACACTTCCCCCTGTTGCCTTCTGATATAAGGCAAGGCGACCTGGTTTCGAGGAACAGCACGGTGACCCAAACTCTCCAGGGTCGCTCGGGCCAAAGAGCACACAGACACCAATGTGGTAGATGGTCAAAGGCCTTTATTATCTAATCTCGTGGGGTTTTATTGTCTAAGGGGTCTCTGTACGTCAGAGGGGCTCTGCAGTAACATCTATGGTTAGTAAGGAGTGGAAAGTTACCAGGAGTGGAAAGTTACTAGCATTACTATTGGTAGGGGGGCTACATTCCTAGTTACATTCCTAGGGTGATCTCTTATCTCAGGGGATTAGGGGGAAAGGAGTCCTACACTTTCCGTCACATTGCGTGATCTTCCGATCTCCTGTCCCTATCTATCACACCCCCCCCCATCACGTTTCCTCCACCAGAGGAATCTGGCAGAGCCCTGGACCTTCCTTGCTCTGATGGCCAAACCGGCCTTCAGGAGGCTCTGGATTCTCTTGTTCCCTGTCCCAAACCCCTCCTCTGCCATGTTCCCAACACGAGGATCTCACAAAGGCCCTGAGGATGTTCCTGAGCCTCCCCATTTGCCCAGGGCAGTTGGAATCAGGCCATGGCACAGGGTGGGGTGGCAGAGACAGGAAAAGTTTGAAGTCTGGAGACATTTTGGAACACCTGTGTGTGGCAGGGGTGGGTCAGGACTTGCTTTTGGTGAGACAGGGCCCTGTCTGTCCATCACCTGTCAGCCATGGCACAATGGGGAAAGTGTGACACTTTGACAAAGCCAGCTCCTGAGTAGCCAGGTGACCAGAAGTGCCAGCTGGGGAGAGGGCCCTGGGTGGCTCAACTGGCTTAAAAGGCAGAGCATGAGGTGGCCAAGTCCCTGACCCTATCTGCTCTTGGGGTGTCTGTCCCCTCCACGCTGGAACCCAGAAGTTGGCAACTCATACAAATGAGAAATATCTGTCAAGGAAACTGGGAAAAGTTCCTGGAATGGAAAGAAACCCATCTCAGAAACTTTAATTTCAAAGATGATCTGGCTTCCAGGCCAAAGTGTAGGAAAAGGAATACCTGCTCTTCACGGGGAAATTTATAAACCAGAACAGAACAAACAACACAAACCCAGAACTTTCCCTACCGCTCAGCGCTGTTGCTTTTTGCGGCAGTTATAACCGCGGCCAGCAGGGAGCGCTGCAGGGAGCACTCCCGGCCAGCAGGGGGCGCCCCTCTCCAGCTCCATCCCCTCAGGGGCCATGGCGGCCTCGGATGGGAGGCAGGAGGGGAAATAGCTACTTTTGCAAACTCGTAGGCACCAATCGGTCCCGGCACAACCACCGGCGGCGGGCAGAAGCTGCCAAGGCAGCAGGTTGGATCCCAGTGCCCACTGGCAGCGTAGCAGTTTCCCGGGGCAAGACACACGCCCTGCACAACACCCGTGGCCGCTCTCCATGATCCCGAATGGAAGGAAGGCCGCACCTGACCCCAGGCAGGTCTCGGGTCCACAGCAGCACCTGTGGTGGCTTTACACCCCAATTCCTGCAAACCCTCAGCCTTTCACTAAGGTGAGGAGGGCAGGGATTGAGCAGCTTTGGGGAAACCTGGAATCCACACAGGATCACTCCCCACAGCCCCACCACAGCTGCAGTCAGAGCCACAGCTCAATATTTCCACACTTCTCCCTCTTGTCTGGCAACCACAGCCAATAGCCAAATGCTCTTCCCAGGCCATTCTAAATGGCTGCAGGTTTGAGGCAGGAAGGAGGAGGGAACCGGTCAGGTTGTTGAGCAGATTGTTGCGGGATACTCAAGGTTTTTGGGGCTATCTCAGACACTTGCTGCAAGGGACAAAATGATCAATTGCTGCATTTCTGGACTGGTTCTCACAGAGCTGACATTACAGGGGGCGATTTCCAGCCAGCCCTGCTCTGAAAACCATCAAAGGCCCTCACAGAGCCACTGCTTTGGCTCCCTTTGGGTTTTGTGCTTCTTGAAGTGCCGAGTAAACCACAGGCAGGCTTTTTTCTCCCACAGAATTCTCACCTCTGCAGCAGCTCTAAAGCTGCCAGAATCAAAGCCAAGGGGGCAGGGGGGACCCTCAGGTCCTGGCTGCCACCAGGGCTGGCCAGAGCAGGGCTGGGCAATGGCCATCCCTGTGCAGTGGGGCTGGGCCATGGCTGGGCCCCACCCTTGGATGGCCACAACAACAACATCAGCCACTCCAAAATACTTTTCACTATCTGAGCAACATCGCAATATTTATTCAACAGTATAACCAATAATGTAACATCAATTCATACAATATCCAGTAAAAGTCAACTTCCATTAACTTGTTTCTGTCAATATATGCCAGTAAAGAACTCTGATTCCTGTTCCCGCATCTTTACCTAAAGGCCCTGTTTTTCAAAATTATAGTAGTTCAGAGAGAAGGGGATTGTATTTTCCATTCCAAGGGAGGTTCCCACCTTGTTCAGCTTCCTTGTCAGAGCTGAACAAAGAAACACCATTTCTGCCAGTTTAACCAAAGAGCTGCATTTTTGTCCCAGGAGCAGGGAACCAGGTCCTATACCTCCTTGGAACTGGGATGGGCACCACTAAGCCACCTCATTGGGAGCACTGGGATGGGGACTGCAGAGCCAATAAGCACGCTGGGCTTAAGAGGATCAAATCTGATTTTGATTTATGTCTCAACATATGCTACACATGAGGTGAATAATGACTCTGGGTTGTACATATGCTAGGAACCCTGTCCCTGGCAAGGCTTCACACAACAGATGATCAGGGGAGAGAAAGCTTCAGTGATCGAGCTATGAGTGACCCCCACTGGCTGGTGGGACAGATGCCCAAGGAAAAATATCTATGAAAAAATGCCCAGGAAATCAGGCTGTGGGAGGAGACTTTGCAAATAAAAGCAGTAAACTGTGACACAACAAGAGTGTTTTGCTTTGGGTTTCTTGCAGGGATCAGGGGCTCGCTCAGAGGGTCAGTTTGGCCCTCCTCCCCTGTGGGATTCACATTCTCTGAACCTGAGAGAAGCAGTGAGAGAAGCAAAGAATGATCCAAAAAAATTCTCATCTCATTTTCTGCTCCTGTGTTGTTCACACGTGGAATGCATTGTGGAAGATTGTTTACTTGAAGGGAATTGGTAATTAGATTCTGGTGTGAGAGTTTTGATTCACTGACCAGTTGAATCCAGGTGTGTGCGTGTGTCGGGACTGTTGGCTGACAGTCATGAGATTGTGCGCAGTGGAGTGCAGCTGAGTGCTTGGCAGATTCAGTTTAGATGTAATGTAATATAATACAGAATGATACAGTATAATAAAGTACTTAATTAGCCTTCTGAGAAAATGGAGTCAGATGCATCATTCCTCCCAGATGTTGGGAAAAATATCACTGATACTACCCCCACTCGCATTTTCCTCCAGGTGGTCCTTCTCCCCTGCCTGCATCCATTCTTCCCTGCTTCGCTGCTTCCCCGAGGCAGCTCATTCCTTCTCATCCGGGACATTCCTTCCTTGCCTCCTCGATGGAGCAGATGCTGCCTGTACCCACCCGTCGCCTCTGCCGTATTTCCCGTGCTGCCCACAGTCCCGAGCCTGCTGCACCTGCCCACCGCAGCCCCAGCCCGCGGCAGCCAGCCCAGAGCCACCAGTGCCGCAGCACCAGCCCACAGCCAGCCCACAGCAGCCAGCCTGCAGCCATCGCTCGCCCATGCCAGAGACACGCAGGTGCCCTCCTTGGAAATCACGCCCAGCCACTCACAAAAGCCATGTGGGCTCGCCCTGGCTTGCAGCACACACACTCCATCTGCCCAGCTGATGCCCACAGAGCGCCCGGGCTTCTTGCGGTAACGCTGTCCCTGTATTCTGTTTGTCTCTCCATCCTTTCCCCTTTCTACTCCTTTCTCTCCCCGTTTGGTAAGATCACTTACCCTCCTTTATCAATTAACAGTTCTCTGATATAATCTTGCCACGGTGGTGCTTCATTTTCATCTGAGAAACCTTTCAGCAAGAATCCTCCCCGACTCCCCCTCTTACAGTGGGATGGGACAGGGGTAGTGGGAGGGGGAATGGTGAAGCCCTGGGTGTACTGCAAGCACTGTGGGGAGAGAATGGGGCAGTCCCTGAGGGTACTTGGGCACTTGGATGGGGCTGGGGAGCCCCCGCAGGTACGAGCAAAGGGATGGGGGAGCCCTTGGGGGTAGTGGAAGAGGAAATGGCAAGCAGAGGGTGCCCTGTGTAGCCTTCCCCAACCAATGAGCACCTCCCTTGGAAGGATGGGGAACCACAGGAGCCATGGAGGGAGCACCCCCAGTGTCACCCAGTGCCTCCCACTTCCCAGAGCATCACAACTTTTGGTGTAGATTGTCATAGATGTCACTGGGTTCCCACAGTTGCCTTTGCAGCTCCATGTACGTCGCCTGAGGATCCTCCACTGAGGGTGCCAGTGGGTCTGGGGGGGTCCCTGTGGGAATAGGGGACTGTGTGGAAGAGGATGGGAGGTGCTGTGGGTTTGGGTAAAAGG